AGCCAAACCCAAGAGCCCGTAAGAGTGAGGCGGAGAGAAGATCGATTGGCCAAATAGTGCAAGTTCCCTGAGACAAGCAGGTTACAGCAAGTCAGAGTAAAATATTGAGTTCCTGACAGATACAATGAAATGCGTTTTGTTATAAAATTGCCTTAGGAATAACGTGAGAGTCACTTTTATCCTAAATATTATGACAAGGTAAAGAAGGTTAATTCACAGAACCTTAAATTCTTGGCCGTATACAGGTCAATTCACATTCTGAGTGCAGCTGAGGAGTCGCATCTTAGTCTGGTGAATGAAGCCGCTAGCCACCTAGAGGTTCTAATTGCTGGTGATTTAAACGCACCTGCAATAGACTGAGTAAATCTGACAGTTCTATTAATGGGACTGTTAATGGGACTCACACTTGACCTCCCTCTGGCACAGAAAGCTAACTCTTAACTAGATTTCGAGAGAACCAGAGAGTTAGTTGCTTGGATCTCATATTTACGAAGTGTTTATCCTACACTGATGAAGTGCTTTCAACTGACCCGCTCGGTAAGTGATCATACGACGCTAATATGAGATTACTCACTCAATTCTCAACGTCTGAGGAAAACAAAGGACCAGTCAAATATATGAAAGGCAGATATTAGTTTGATGAAAAATGCCCTATCGTCCGTGAATTGGAACTGTTTGCTCAAGGGGAATCCGGAGGATGACTGGAGATCGCTTAAGAGGATTGCATTAGATTTTATCAAGCGCTGCTGTCTGATGAAAATACACAAGATGACTAGTCGTCCTGCTTGGTTGACGAAAGACCTTAACAGGCAAGTAAAGAAGAAAAATAAGAAATGAAAGTAATAAAGGGAAACTGGGTCACCAGTACACCTCGGTGAGTGCCGTCGCCAAAGAAATGCGGTACAAAAATCGATTCGTCAAGCAATAAAAAGGATGAATCAAGAACAGACTCCCTGACGAGGTGGTCCTCTCAGATACTGTTGACACGTTTAAACGCAAATTTGATTCTCATTTTCTGAGAAACCGCGACAGATATAATGAACATAGTCTTTGTAGCAGCAGTTTGCAACTGGCTAACTCCTATTGCTCATGTTAACCCTACATTTGTATTGTGTATTATCGTTAAGGTTGAACTCCTTTACAATTTTTGGGTATGAATAGGAAGCTCACGTGCGAAAGCCTTCGTCCCTCAATAAATGGACTAAAAGTGACTTATTTACATACGAAAAGCATGTTGTGAGCGTTGTGGAATTATACTTGTATATGTATGTATATTAAAGGTGCAACAAGTAAGAAAGTTATTTATTCGTAAACTTTGAGGGTTTCTAAACGTAAAATATGATATATTGATCAGCATAGCTTAGAAAAAACCGAAATTTTTCGAATATCACCACAGTCAGTTTGGATGTGTACACATTTGATGCAATTTTAATCATTAATGTACATTTATATGATGTGCTTATGTGAAAGGTGAATTTATTTTACGAATTTTGGTTATGAATAGGGAGCTCAAGGGCGAAAGCCTTCTTCCCTTAATAAAGTGTGACTTAATTTTGCCCCTGCATAATCACAGGCAGTGCATACATCGGAAAGGATTTTAGTATTCCCTTCAATTCGTCCCAAGAGACGCTTAATTTGCTGTCAATTACAGTTTTACTTGCTATGTGGTGTTAAACAGGACTAAATTAATTGAAATCGGGAATACACAAGAGACCTCTTGGTAGTGTAAACATTCCCTTTTTCCTTTAGCCCATTTGACAATTGTGGCGTGAGGTCGCCCGTATAGTCATCCGTGATGCAGAACCAGGTTCAGCCGTCGCCCCAAAATCTCGGCAAAGATGGTGCCGAAAAGACTGCCAGGTCAATTTTTGTGGGCAATATTCCATATGAGGCGACAGAGGAAAAACTTATTGAGTTGTTTAGCAAGGTAATCTTATGAATTGTCCAACATTGTCTTCAGGCTGGACCAGTAAACGGGTTTCGCTTAGTTTACGACAGAGAATCTGGCAAACCAAAGGGATACGGTTTCTGTGAGTACAGCAACGCCGCAATTGCTGCCAGTGCACTTAGAAATCTGCATAATATAGACTTTAATGGTCGCCCCTTGCGCATTGGTACGTAGTCGCTTATTACGTTACTGTGGTCCAGGGCCAGCCGCTGGTGAACAGAATTCCGCAGAAGTGGCATTGAGTAATCCTGCTGTCGGTCCTCCAGTTGAAAATGCCTACGGATCTCCAGTTGATCCTAAACACGCACCCGAAGCCATTAGCAGAGCTGTTGCAAGCCTGCCCCCTGAACAGATGTACGAACTTATGAAACAAATGAAACTCTGCATACAGAATAACCCGAATGAAGCACGGAATATGTTGCTTCAGAACCCTCAGTTGGCATATGCACTTTTACAGGTATTCGACTGGTGTGATATCTTTATTATACACTAACCATATTTACTGTCCAGCCTATTAATTTTTGTCGGTTTTAATGTTAAACCGGGTCCGTGGTACAAACTCTCGGGAATTGTTTTGTCGAAAACATAAAAATATGTTTTTCATTTAATCTGACTGCCTTATGATTCACAAGTCTTCCTGCATGATCATCTTGTTATGCTTGTGTTAATGCCATAAATCTTTCCTGACAGTTAAACCCACCTGACCATTTTCAGGCTCAGATAGTTATGAAGATCGTTGATCCTAAAGTGGCGATTGGAATGCTCAATAGAAGCCATGATCAGATCCCACCAGCAAGACCGGATAATTCGAAGTCCTTCGAGGAAGAACAAAATTCGTTTCAAACTCCTCCGGCTCATAACTTTCAAACACCCCACTCTCAGCCAGTCGCTCCCTCAATGCCGGCTGCTCAGCCACCATTTCCTCACTCGACTGTGTCATCGCTCTCAATCAACAGCTCTGTTGCCCCCACACAATACCAGCAAGGTCCTACGGCTGTGCCGCTGCGTTCAACAAATCCGGCCATGCCTCAGCCCGCTACACAAATCCCCTTCACCTCAGAATACCCTGTCATCTCACAGGAGTCCATGTCTGCAGGTAAGCTCCGCTTGAACAATTTTTCACGCCAACTTTATGCTGCGACTTGTGGGGAGTATTTTTCAGGATGAGGATGCAATCGTAATTCAAAAAATTGGCTGATGATAACTACCTCCTTATTTCTATGAATTTGAGTTCATTCTTACCGCATGAAAAATGTCGATTTATAAGACTAAAGTTCACTCCTTGCCCACGCATAAATAGATTGAGAAGTGTACTTTTAAGTATGCCTGCATGTTCCCACGCCAGGATCACCATAGTCGTGTTATTTGTACGCTTCTTCATAAACTAATAGAATCATTCTTGTAAAGAGGACTGGTATTCGTACGTCCTTCATTTAATCTTTTCATTTTCGAACCGCAAGAAATATTGGAGTCCAGAGCCTCTCCAAGACGTTTTTTGTCTCATTCATTCAAATTGCTACTGGCCACAACCGCCGCGCAGAACAGAACAATAATCAAGGACGAGTTCAGTCTTGAGCAGACAGAACGCGTGGCCAAACTATTCGCACTCGGCAGTTATTTTTTATTAAAATAGCCGCAGGCCTACAGACACTTCAGCAGATGAAATTACTAAGTTATGTCACGCATTTTATCTTCTACGGATTTAGTTGTATTGAGTCCATTGGAGCCAAAGTAGAATAAATTCTGGAAAACCGAAGTTTTTTCCGGGCCAGGTTTGTTCTCTTGCTGACATTTCGAAGAGCTCAGTTGGCTCTCCATTTTCGAACTATTTACCGTTTAAAATCTACCAGAATTCGAAGTAACTGGTCGAGCTAATTTATCCTTGGACTGAGCGATCTTTTCGTTTTTCACTGTCAGACTTTTTGACACATGGTGGGTCTTAACAGCCGCTGGCGTTACGCCTTGTCACCCCGATCAGAGATGCTAACAAATTTGCCACGGGTGGATTCTTCGTGTTTTCTCAGATTCGTTAGACTCCATGTGAGAATCTTGTTCTTGCCTTATATGAACTGACGCAGGACTTAATAAGTCGCAGTAAGATCTAGATGCTTACTGAGTAGTGTGCCTAAAATGTGAGCCATTTTGCTTTTGAGATGTCAGAGCCTAAGATAGCCGACCGCTCCTTGAATTAAAAACTGTGTCCAGTTTCTCCAATACGAGTTGCAAGCTGCGACTGGGTCTAACCTCCAAGTTACTAGTTTTTCTCGTTTTCGTAATCAGAATAAGTAGAGCCGCTCGATTCAGTATTAGTCAAACAGACGAGGAGTCAGAATTAACGATTACCCTAGAATTAGGCTTTTTTATCTTACAATTGGCGTATTATAACTAAAAAGGGAAAACAGAGTAGTATTAGAAAGATATAAATTTTCGAAGTAATGTTAGTATGACACTCGTGTGGACGGGAATCGACGCGCTCCGCAACCCTTGTTCGGTGGTGCGGGCGAATAATGTGCAAGCTGGACTGCTAAACAAAAACGGACT